CTTCCCTCAAAAGAGCACAGACATACAGGTAAGTCTGCACGCGTTCATGAGGCATCACAAATGTAAATAGAGCGATGCGCCCTTATATAACCCTTGACATTTGAAGAGGTGAAAAGGGGAAGAAAGGAAGCGAGGAAGGAAGGAAGAAGGAAGGAAGGAAGGAAGAAAAGAAGGAGGAAGAAGAAGATGAAGAAGAAGAACAACAAGAAAAAGAAGAAAAAGGAGAAGAAGAACTAATACATGTGTTAATGAGAATAGTTTATATATATATATATATATATATATATATATATATATATATATATATATATATATATATATATATGTATGTATGTATGTATGTATGTATGTATATAAATATAAGACACTGGTGATCAGAAGGAGATCGCTAGGAGATAGTTTAATGGCAGATCGCTATAAGTGATTTGTTGGTTTGGTGGCATATTAACGCTTAACGTACATGTTAAATATGTTTCGTTTGCCATTGCTGAGGTAATCGCGCTGAGCGTATGGTGTCATTATCATAGTTTCTTTTTATCTGGAGATGATTAGCACTTTAGATTCTACCTCTTGTCGAACACGTTAGTTATTGTTAATGATATATTTGTGAAGTTTACGTTAATACTGTGTTCAGTTCAGTAAAAAAAAAAAAAAAAAAAACAGCTGTTGATTATAATTCATTTGCTTAATTTAATTTGGGATCTGTAGTTCGTGCACGTGGTTTGTCTCGGTGTATGTAGCCATGTAGTTAGGTTGTTGTCATGTAACTCACGATACAGATATTCTTTGTTTGGGTTTTAGTGAAATGTTCTAGGATCTCTGCGCAGAAGAACCCATGTCTTTTCTTTACTTTCCTGTTTTTTTTTTGTGTTTTGTTGTTTTTTGTTTGTTTAGCTTGGAACTATTATTTTGTTCTAATCATAGTTTTTCTTTGTCTCCCCCACTTCTATGTTTTTCCTTTTTTTTTTCCCCGCTAGAACATTAGTATCGTATGCGTAAATTGAAATAAAATAAATAATAAACAGAATTTGCCTTTCTACGCATTCAGGCATAGTGAACATATAATGTTAGACCTGTACTTTAATAGACCAATCGGCACTAGGAGGTTGATGTGGTCAACATCAAGCCGGCCGCATTTACTTCCCAAGAATTAACTTCAGACCCCTTTAAGACTGGGTCGACCTGGGAGCCACAGTCATTGTTGAAAAAAGTCTTTCACTATCTGGATTTAACGCACGACACCCGGATCCACAGACGATAGTTTTGCCACTACACCGCGAAGGCTCCAATCTTATAAGTTAAAAAACAACTTATAAATAAATGATTCATAAAATGCAAATGCTGTCTGAAATCCCCTGTGCGTTTCTGGTTAAGATTTTAGAGAGAAAAACACTATAGTCCCACTGCACGGAAAGGAAACATGTTATGAATGTCGACTACTTAAGGATTGGCTTAAATCAGATGTGTTGGTCCCAAAGGCGTTGATTTCGTAGTTTAGCTGTAAATTGTCTATCACTCTTTCAAGGTCGAAAGTGGAAGACGAAGAAGCAGTTGTATGACAGATGAGTGATTGCCAGGTTCCGATTGTATGACTAGGACTAGACCTATATTTGTATAGACCAATCGGCTCAAGATGGGTGATGTGGTCAGCCTCACACCGGCTGCCTTTACTTCCCGGGACTACACTCTCGTTCACAAAGTTCTCTGGTTCACAAAGTTCTCTAGTTTACAAAGTTCTCTGGTTCACAAAGTTCTCTGGTTCACAAAGTTCTCTGGTTCACAAAGTTCTCTCGTTCACAAAGTTCTCTAGTTCAAAAAGTTCTCTAGTTCACAAAGTTCTCTCGTCCACAAAGTTCTCTAGTTCACAAAGTTCTCTCGTTCACAAAGTTCTCTCGTTCACAAAGCACTCTCCTTCACAATTTAACTTGGGTCCTGAGCCTAGTTTTGGCCGTGTGCTGTCGTTTCTAGTTGAACGAGTATCATTTGACCGGGTATCATGTGACCGGTTATCATTTGACCGGGTATCATTCTCATCTGGAGACAGCAGAACAAGCAGCTGATATACCTGCTGTTTGTACTTTTATCTCCAGGTGGAGCTGTTTGCACCGGACTCTGATACCATCGTGATGATGCTGTGCAACGTGGTCGTCACTGTGGGAGCTAACCTGAGGATAAACGGCTCAAAACAGGCCGTCATGGAATCCCTGGACAACTCTAAATATGTAAGTAAAAACAATACTGTATTCTATACCAAGCACAGCAACACACGGTCTTACTATTTATATGATACATTCACTTTGTCTACATTATGTCAATTGCGGACAATAATTACTGCCACCAGGTCTTCGATCTTAGACAATAATTATTTCTCCGTTGTATCTCCTTGAAAGTCCACATTGCTACCCAGATAGATTCAATGGTTTGTTACTTTTATTAATATGTTCTCTAGCATGATATGTTGATGGTGTCTTTAATATATTTTTTTCTGATAACTAATTTATAGTCCCATTAGGGGGCCGCGTTAGTAGAGTCGATAAGAGGCTCGCTTTCATATCCAGCTGCGACTCGCTGCAGCCATGGTCGGTGTTTGAAACCTGGCGGCTCCCGGGGTTCACCCAGCCTCTAGGAAATAAGTACCAGAGTTGACACTCTGGGGTAAATGGAGGAACGTCACTGTAGCCACAGAGTTACGTGCGGACGGCGACACAGGCAGACAATACTTATCAGCTGTCTGTACTGGTGGCAGAGCACGTATGGTTTATAACCGTGTGCAATGACGCTGGTTCACGTCTCCCTACTTTACCTTTATAGTCCTATTTTTGATGATGTAGACGACAAACCGTCTGTTTGTATTTGCACTTCTGTGTTATTTTTACATAAGAGAACAATGTAAACTGCGAAATCCAGATTTTCCAGCCGTCTATTCTCTTCCCAGTCAATGCCAATTTTGCAATATTTGTCTCATTACCCAACATTACTCCACACAACAAGGGAAATATAATGCAGTCTGGTGCCACCTCAGTTTTCAAGGGAAAAAAAAAGTCATATATCATTTTCAGTCCTCACTGCACTTTCTGAACCATCGCATACATTTCTAACAATGCGCATTGTTTAGGCCGGAATCCCGCAGCATTTTAAATTTTCTGTAGTTACATTTTCTGTAAGCTTTCAAAGGCCTTCTTGAAATCAGAAAAAATCAGGTTGAGAGGTTGTTTCTCTGTGTGTTCTTCTAGAATAAGTTTCAGCTATATTATTTATATTTAGGCCCCACTAAAAAAGTTACCAAGTGATTGTTTTTCCAGGTCACATCACCTAAACTTCCAGTCCGGCCGACAAACTACCCAAGTATATTGTTGGTAATCCAGATGATCCGCCCAGCATGAGTTTGACCCTTGTCGTTTAGGTCTTCCCCGTGAGTTTAGTTTGTGGTAAACTTCTGATCCGACTAGTGCAGTCGAGCTGCTTTTAGCCAAGAGGCCGGATTGGGTACTACACTTTCAGCTTATCTAGAGGCCGAGAAGCGATCCATAGTCCAATGTGGGTGGGTGTGAATGAATGCCGTTCAACCTCACTAGGACCTATCGTCGAGCGACAAACACCTGGTGACACAAAGTGCCGCTATTCGGATGAGGATCACCCTGGCACAAGTCCCAGCAACCCCGTTCAACCGTTAGCTTATATTAGGACCCCCGACTACAGCCGGGATGGGGCCAGTATTGCCACTTTTCTTTAAAAAAAAATAGCCATCCAAAACGGAGTCAAAAAATATCTAAAAACAGTTGCATTTCTAAATGCAAGAAAAACATGTGAATCTGAATGTAAAACATCCAAAGTGGCAACACTGGATGGGGCTTTCAAATAGCTGAAATTTTTTTTTTTCCAACAGATTTTGTTTTTGTTTTTGTGTGTGTGTTTGTATTTTGTATGTTGCTAGTATTTTTGTAAGTCTGTTTTAACATTCGTTGCCGTTTGTGCGTGTTATTGTGGTGTTGTTTTGTGAGTGCTTTCAAATTTTATTCAATTTACAAAAAAGAAATGAAAAAGTAACAATACAAAGAGAAAGGAAAAGCTCTGGGGCGGGGGAAAATGCACAGGGGACTCCACTCAGTTTTTTGGTTCGCACCAAGAGAGGGTTCCGTACTGTTTCAGTGGTCTTTTTCTTTCTTGGACGTTTTGTAGGAAAAATACGTGGTGTCCTTTTTTCGAGGGTTTTGCCAGTGTCATATGACATCGAACGTAGTGGACTTTGGTGATTGCATGCGAGAATGTGGTTGATTCTGCCGAGCATTTTGGACATAATATGTCTTTGATGTGAGGCTCTGAATCCTCCAAGTCTGAGCGTTCTGAGCCGGATGTGGACTCCTCTTTCACGGCAGCTGCTGTAGTCTCCTCTGGGTTTCCTTTGTTGTCTCTTTTTGCAGCAGGTGACGTCTCGTTGGAGCTGACTTTCTGGCGGCTTCGCTTTTTGACTTTCTTCTTCTTCTTGCCTTCGGTCTGTGAGCCCTCCTCTTCCGTTGAGGACTGTGCACTTAATATCACGACTTCCTGTTGCTAGCGACTGCCACCTGTTCCTGTGGATGAACCTCCTAAAGAGTGGGTGTAGCTACTGGCTCGTGGCGTTTGCTCCTTGTGGGGCACTTGTTCGCCCAGTGATCATTGTGCCCGCAGTGTGGACAATTCGTCCTTCTGCCTGGCACAGTGACCCAGAGTTGGTGCTTTCCGCCGGGGAGCGCCGGATTCCTCATTTTAACATAATGAGGAATCGGCTTTTTCTCCCTCCCCGAGGCATACCATCTGTCCTTGCGGTGTTTCGGTTGGTAAATTTCGGGATCTTCGTCCCCCGTGATTCCTGCAATGATCTTTTTCGCGGTCTGTTCAGTGGCTGTTATTGGCATCCAATGGATGCAGATTTTTGTTTTCAATGCGGCCCTTATTGGGTGTACTTTTTTTTTCTATTAGCAGAACAGTTTTATTTATAAACTGAATTTATTGACAAGTATTTAATCTTCCTCCTCCTCGTCTTGGTTAATCTGGAAGTAGCGGAGCTCAAAAGCTTCCTTAGAGGATGCTACAACTCTCAGCCAGTCACGGAGGTTGTCTTTTTCAAGTACTTCTTTGTCAAATGCTTGAGATACCTCTTTGAGAAGGGAACCTCACTAGTCAGGTTAATTTTGTTTTTCTGCAATTCCAAGGAGACTTTATTTCCAAAGTTGCCAGTCTTGCCGTCAACCTTGATACGCTCTTTCAGATACTTCTCAAAGTTTGCAGCGTCCATGATCCCATCCTCCACAGGGTGAGTGCAGTCCACTGTGTACTTCAAGGTGGTTTTCTTCTTCTTGCCACCTTTGCTTTAAGGTTTAACCGTTCGTTTCACTGCTTTGTGCATAGGCATGGCTGTCAGCGTGTCGGGGAAAAAAAAGTGTTAAAGAAAATACACACAATAATCTGCGATGCAAGGTCTATTCAAACTAACATGTTATAGGAAGTAAATGCGAACTTTAACAACGATGATGATGACAATAAGGGTTATGATGATAACCTATGATTCAGCTATGTACATTTAAAGTATACAATCTGGCAGAAGTGTTGACAAGGAGGATTATTATTATTCCCCCTTACTCAGAATGACCGAGCGATTATCGCCCTTGGCTCCGTGAACAACAGTGGGGCAGATCTGAATTCTTTAGATCCCAGTACTGTGTCTATCACTTATGAGGCTGTGATGATAGAGAACGCCAGCACCAAAGATGGCCAGGTATGTTTTTGTGTATATTGTTGGATTAGTTCGGTGGCTGGTTGGATAGTTGGTCGGTTATTTTGTGGATAACATTGGGAGCCGATCAAAGCTCTTTATTGAGTTTGTTTAGCTTTCTGGATCAGGTATATAGGTAGATTTGAGGGGTCACAATACAAAGAACCGTGGGGAGCGGGGGGGGGGGGATATTTGGAGAGCTAAGCATCTGAGCTGAAGCACGCTAAATACATGTGATAACAACTCCAGCTCGCTAGCTCAGTTGGTTTAACCTGACTGCGCGGTGACCGAGTGACGAACTCCTTCTGGTCCGGGTCAGGCCAGGGGGTATACAGAGAAGCCACATTTCTCCCAGATTTATGGTATCTATGACTTAATCAAAGCTGAAGGATTGCAATATCCATAGTACCGAGCCAAAGGGTTTACAACTCATGGTTTCTAGATATTTAAAAAAGAGAACAATAACAGGATACTGACATACCATGCTCTGATTACGGTACAGAGGGGGGGGGGGGGTGTGCTTACTGGCCAAACTCGTCTTTGCCATGGGGTTTGATTCCCATGCCGTCCCATGGCACAATAAAACACTCTCCTCTGAAAAGACGAAAAGGTGCCAACAGTTGGCTGGTTAGTTTATGAACTGGTTGTGGCTTGTTGTCGATTGAAGGTTAGTTGCTTGATTGGTTGGTTAGTCGTTGGAAGGATGGTTGGTTCGTTGACTGGTTAGTCTGTTGATACGTTATGAGTCGGCTGGAGGAGAGACAGAATAGACAGTGGATTGGTGGGTTGACGGGTCGACGGTTGATTGGCTGCTACGTTAGTGAACTGATTGGATAATTGGCTCCTCTCGAGCAGACACGCAGTGTAGGTGGCGGCAAATTTCACCAAAACTTGAGTGACATTTTTCACAGTGTTGCCGATCTTTCGACTAGCGTTCTAAGAAAAGGACACACCACATTTTGATAATACTGCTAGTTTCAGGAAGTACAGGTTAGATAAGCTCACAAAAGACAATTGATGCCAAACCGACTACTTGACTTAGGAGTCAGGGGCTTCAAGACGTGTAAGGTTAAGTGCGCAATAATTTTTATAATTATAGCTATAAAGATAATTTTGTGTGTGTGATGAATGACACAAATGTGAAAGTACATTTGAATTATTATGTAGTTTATAAACACACAGTTAAAAAAAGGTTCGTGGTTATAGTGGCCATTTAGCTCCCCTGCACATTTTCTATGGGGTCTCAGTCACCATGCTCCAGTATTATTGGGGACCTTGGCCTGAGATGGTCAGGGTGGGGGCTTGAGGGGCCCGAGCTCTCATGTTCTGGTACGCCTGCTCGGATATAGTCTGACTATACAGGTCTATACCGTCTTAAAATTTGAAATGGCGCTTATTTTAACCAACTTTGCAAGGATATTATCTGTGGAGATACATAAGGATGGCTGCTGCGTGGGACGTATGGGAATAACTAATGCGCAGTTGCGTCTATTGTGATTATAGAACATTAAAAGCACATGGTTTGGTCATCTAGTACGAAAACAGCCAGAACAACTACCAAGGCAGGCGAAAATGAAAAGATTTGTAAAATCAAGAGGCAGCCCTAGGAAATATTGACTGATGGCATTACAAAGTTCTACGTAGACACGGAACGACAATAGCCATTGCTGGCTTTCAAGCAATGGATCGCAAACTGTTCCACCCCACACTGTTAATCGGCAGAAGTACATATTGGTGATGATGATGAAACACTAAACATTAGTCTTTCATAATTATCCATGCTACGTGGACTTATATGAGTGTGTTGTCCGGGTTATGCAGGAGTCCGAGACAATGAACGTGTGGTTGTTTTGACTGGAGAATTTTAGTTATGGAAAAAATCACAATGGATACGATAAATACTCTGATGACTACCTTTGAACTAATGCTGGCTGTAGAAACAATGTAGGTTATAAAAATCAGTGAAGTGTGAATGTGGAATTAAGTGTGTCCCTGTTACAAGGCAAACAGTACCATCCATTTTGAGGTTTAGACCATTTTCTAATGCCTTATCACACACGCCAACATTTTCTGACTTCGAACTGTCTTTTCACGAT